ATCCACAACCTGGCACACCAGAACAGAAAGAGGTGGCAGCTGCATGATATGATTGGAGGTAAGGATTCCTCATTGGCAGCTCCGGTAACAACGGCGGTTCTTTACAAAGGAGAGTATTTGGACTCCTAATAAGTGAACTTATTTGTGACAGACGGAGGTCATTCTTATTGAAAGTCCTCAATAGAGGGTGTGGGGCGCAGTTCATCTTTAGTACGATAATCTCAACTAAGCAACCAGTCCGCCTGTGCCTGGCTTCCTACTCTTTGTTGTTCCTGTTCCTGGCGCTATGCCCAAACTCCTTTCACTCGGATCACGAAGAAAATTCACAGCTAGCCAGGTCTTCTTACTGACCAGATTCCTTTATACCTCTTCTCCACTCACATTGCAAAAGAAAGAACCGAAAGAGACTTACAAACAAACGGAGCAAAGCGATCAACAAATGATCAAACCGAGCACCTTTTTGTGTCACTCTTCAAAGGGAAGGGGACAAAAATAACATTCTATTATATACATAACATAAGAAAAGAAGCGTTGAGGAGACATTCATATTATGGCACGGATTGAGAAAAGAGATCCATTTGCTTGCTCCCTCTTGCTGCTACGAATAACAAGGCGGCTCGATCCGCTAACTGAAACCTAAACGGATTCTGTCGACTAGAATGTAAATGGAAAGAGAGTTCTTGAAGTTCAAGATTGAGAAAAGGGATTGGAACCTAAATCAGTGACACACGAGACACTCAAAAGAGGAGAGTCCACTCGAGGTTTTGATTTCTTATGAACATATGATATGGGAATCTTTCGTAATAGCATACTTTTCTTTTCCAAGAATAGATCGAATTCTCTCCCACCCAATACTACAGGCTCGGGTCACAAAACAAGAATAGGTCAAGCAATTGATCCAGATCCCAGGGGAGAAAGTCATCATAATGAGGGAAGGGTGCCCTTAACGGAGACCAAGTACAGGCAAGAAGGAGAAGTTTCCCCATAGAATGAATCTTGTTAGTAAGAGAAAGCAGCCAAGGATACCTGCTCGGTAAGTTCATAATTAGCAGTACCAAGAGTCCCTACTGAAAAGCACTTTGAGTTAAGGTTTGGACACGAGACAGGTTATATAGTCAGTGACGTTCGTTCCCCGAAGCAACTGTACGTTATCGCATCGCCTTGTAGCCTGATTGAAAATCAAATCAAACTGGCAGAATGGAAGATTCCGCCTTTTCATAAATCTCAATAATAAGGATTGCTCGTGGAGGTTCACTTGACCTAAACTTAGCCTCTGACTCGTATTGTGTAACCCGCAAGTCGGCTTAGCTTGCTTCCTTGTTCCGGGATGGTACGGTTAACAACGGATGACAGGGTCTGGCAAGAAGTTCCTCGGACTGGCATCTTCATCCGTGACGCTTGGTCCAATAGTGCTGCTCTCGTCTTATGACCTCACCTCACTTATGGAATTATTCATTTTGTAGCGATTGAACTATCTGGCCTGGCCTCTTTGGCCCAATCACACCGAGTTTCTAACATTACTGATAGATTGATCAGTTCATCCCCGTACTACTTGACTACTATAGTCAATTTCAAAAGTCAATTTCAAACTTCATCAACTGGCAAAAGTCACTTCCATGGAAAGTAGGGATCAAGGGGTAGTTGAAAAAGCCCCGAATCCTTCGAATTCTTGTTGCCGCATGATCGAAGGTTCACTTTAGGAATTTCGTATAGTGAGCGTCTTCTTTCCATTCTTCCAGAATCTTTCTCAAAACCAAATTCATGCTTAGAAAGGGAATGAAGAAAATACTCCTCAGAAAGAATATAGGTCTTGACTTGAAACACTTTTGGCTAGCGCTCAACTCCGGTACGCAATGAGGATCTCCTTATATAGAACGTGTGCAGTGAGGGATCTTTCCTTACCTACTGCTAACTTACCTCGAGTTACCTGAAGGAGCAAGCTGTTCACGAGCGTCAGTTAGCAATCATATTACTATATTAACCAGTCCTATACTTATAGACTGTGGGTTGAAAGATTACAGAACTGACCCATAGATTTACTGGCCTCTGCGTAAGCAAAGGTCCTAGGAACGGGTGCAGAGTGGGCCCATCCCATGCTCCATAGGTAGTTTTAGAACCGTCAAAGAGAAGCCTTCTTGCCGAGGGACTAGGCACTACAAACGTCGTTCGGGTTGGGGAGACATCCTTTGTGAAGAAATCTGCTCGAAAGGGGGCTTTCAATCAAATAAAAGCCTCCGTTTCCAGTTGGAGATGGAGAAAGATAGCGGATAAGAACACTTTCCTTTCGGGAACGAGAAAGACTCCCACATCTCCGCACTCGCTTCTTTGTTTGAATGAGCTCTGGACTCGGAAAGGCCTAGGGAAATAGGAATCACTATTTATCCACAAACACGAGCTGCAGAAGGCGAGGCTGTAAGAGATGTTGATGGGTCACCTCTATTTCCAGCTGGTTGGCTTGAGTCTGCTTCATAATATAATAGAGAGGTACCCATAGAAGTCAGTGAATGCTTAAAGGAAGCAAGCCATTCTCACCAAGCCTTCATTCCTTTGTTGCTTCCGGCATCAACGCGATTCTTCGCTTCTCAGCTGCTTCTTATTCTTCTTCGCTCTGGAACAGCGGTATGGAACGCCCGAGATTGTGTGGTTCTTGCGATCCTACAACACTTCTCTTCTATGCCCCTTGTAGCGAGCTTTAAGGCTAGTTCTCCTTAAAATGGTGAAGAACATATTATAGCTCGAGTTTTGCCACTTTTGAGAATTTAGGTGTGTAAGCACTGATCTCCGCTTCCACGGTGCCAAGAGCAGCAGGTGGATTTGATTTGAGATTCTAATTTTGTTCAGACAATGACTAGTGAAATTGACAAACTTCCTTTCTCGGAAGGGTTTCATTTAACAAAAGTGTTCCGATAAAGTGACATCATTTTGCTCATTCGTATAAGATAGCTTGTGCAATAAATACCTTCTAGGTCTACCGCTAGCTTTACGTGAATCAGTTCGCGATGGAAATGTTCTTATTTGTGTTATTTGATCTGTCAAATTCGCATAAAGCGTTCCGGAAAGCGCCTTTGGGCAACTGTCGAAACACAAAGAAGACTCATCTAGCGGAAGGAATCAGGAGAGTTTATGTACCAGATGAGCAAGAGTATACACGGTCAGAGCATTAATGACTAGCGGACGCTATGGACTTGGCTCCTGCTTGACTTGCCGGTCCCTAATCAAGCTTCCCTCTTTCTTTCGTAGTGTGAGTGTGTGATTCAGCGAGTTCACGTAAGTTGAGTGCAATCAAGTCACTTCACCCATTCTTCTCATCAAATGAGCCAAAATTGTTCGTTATGGTCTTGCAATAATATTTCGTATAACAAGGAAGAAGAGCAGTGGTGCCTTGCAATATAACACTGAGTTGACAGTCCAGGTTCGAATGAAATCGCAACTCAAAGTCACTCTATCGGGAAACAAATGAACAAACCAGAAATCTTTCCAAAAACATGAATCAAACGTGAACTTCTAAGCATCATCTCATTTTGCTATTCTATTTTCAGTAAGCGCTACGAGCTAAATTCAACTCATCTTGTGAACTCGTTTTTGAGAGAGATTGGGATCCGAATGATGCTTTCTGCCAGAGATCTAGTACTCGAAAGCAAGTCAAAGAATCGGCTCACAGCTGCATCGGATGGTATAAGCTAAAGGGGCTTCCCACAGCACACTCGCTATATTTATATTCGCCGCTGGTGCAACGACTTCAACGGGGAACCGTAGCTGGCGTGTCTACAACGCCAGAAAAGAAATCTGACTCCTCGGGGCGGGGTAAAAGACTGGATGTGCGGAGCTCTTTCGATAGTGTTTTGTTCTCTTGGGTATTAACAGGTTAACCAAATCCATTCACCGGGTTGAGGTATCGGCTCTATCTGGAGCTCTTCTGCAAGGGTCTATTCTAAGTCAATTGCTATCCAAGATCCTAATCTGCTAGGCGAAGAACTACTTCAATTGGCTACGCCCTAGCTAAACAAGAAGAAAATGAAGTTTTCAAGGCCTAACCATTAGAAGAAAAGTAGCCAACTTATGGAAGTGAAAAAGCTGGAAAAACAGCAGATTGAGTACTCTTTGGGTCCAACTCTGTGATAAGGGGCTCATTTCATGAACTGATGTAAATTCTCTCTATCTAAGGAAATAAAGAAAGAGGATTCAAGTTCAGAATGCATTTATAGCACGAGTCCACATCACTTCTTCAAGTTGCTGAGGCAGGTACCACGAGAAAGAAAGGGTTTACAGGGCTCATGTAAATAGTTCAAGTTTTCTGATATGATATGTTAAATCAGCAACGAAGTTCACTCTTTGAAAAGAACAAAGTACCTCAACCACTACCTGCACCATTAGCATTGCTCGCAGGGAAGAAGCAAAGAAGAATTGGCCATGATGTGGGAGTTTCACCTCGATTTCCTAACATTGCCAGGCTTGCTCTATGCCCACTTGACAGAGGAATATGCAACTCATCAACGCTGTTAGAAGTCATATAAAATATGACTCCCCTCTTGAGTCAACGTCGACGTCACCATCATTATTGTCCTCATCAAAGCCGAGTAGAGAGAAGACCCGATCCAATACTGCCTCACCACCAGGGATTAAGAAATGCAAGAATCGACTGAAATGAAATGAAAAGCAATTCTGAGAGTCGACTTACGAGCGAGCTTTCCTTTTCGGCGGCATTCGAGCCACCCAATCACCATGCAACTGGGAAAAGAGAACGAGATAGGCTTTTTTCTCTTTTTTAGCAAAATTCCATCATTGACCTTCATAATAAAGAAAAGAAGCATCCAATGCATAGAGGGAGTCGTCTGGCTTGTATGTTTACAGATCGGCGCTCTTTCGATATCGCGAAATACAGCTGAGATTATTCATAGACCTTTTTCCCTTGCCTGGTCGCGTTCCGCTTTTTGACTCAACCAAACTTGTCCAAGGCAGCCTTACCGCTAGACTGAAACTAGAACCAAAAAACGAATTCGATGGCAGCTTCAAAACTCTGGATTGAAGCCACAATGGGGTCCCCCGATAGGTACATGAAATTCAAGATTCTCAGCCCCACCCAGGTAGAAGAATTCGAAACAGCTCAGATGGTTGTTTTTGGCTTACAAGATGAGTTGTTTTTAGCTCGTAGCCTTTACTGAAAATGAATTAACAATTTGAGTTGTTGGGGACATCCATACAGGTACGGTCAGGCACTGACTTTCTTGATCTATGATAGGATATTACAAGGAGTGACTTCGGTTCAAGCTTGGGATCCCTTAAAGAAAGAGGAAGCTTACGTGCGTTAAAGCGCACTATCATAGCCAGCGAAGCTACTTTTTGCGCTAGGTCCCGCTCTGATTGATTCCTTCTTTCACTAATGATGGGAGGTGCCAAACTCTTCTCTTGTCTTACTCTCGACGAACTCCAAACGAGACAGCAGACGAGAAGCTGCTTAAGCCAATAGATAAGGCTCCGGAGTCAAGAACTCAATATTTGCTTTGCTTGAAACTGCCCAGGAAGAAGCCAAGAGCTAAGCAGAGTAAGCCCCAACCCGAGAAAGGTTTTCGAAATTCGAATAGTGAAAAACCCTAAGGTTATGTGCTTGGGGTAGTGAACAACCGGCGGAATCTTCCAATGGAAGTGGTTTCGGTTGTTCCCAGTTCGAGAGATGGTTGACTTAGAATTGTTTATATACTGAATAGGTGAATTAGCGCTGATGGAAACTCTCTGCCCGCATTTTCGGTCTCTTTCAGTGATGGATTGTAACTTCTCACTATATGCGTCACACATACAAGTCGACTCTTGTTTTCAAGGGCAGAAGGAAAAGCAGAATGACGGAAAAACCTCTTATGGTGACACTTGGTCCCTACACGTTACTAGTAGTCCAATTTCTAGTAAGCTGGCGGCTTTTCCATCACCAATCGAACTCATCGGTCCCGGTACCATCAAGTCAAGCAGTCTCTAATTCCTAAGCCCCATAATATGACATCGGTAAATCAAGACTTTGACTTAGTATTTGTGCGTATGAGAATGAGGCTCGTTGAGACCTCCCTATAGTGCATTCCCCTACATAGTCTGTAGAGTCATTTCGCACTAAGAAGGATTGCTATATCAAAAAGAGAATGACAGATGGAAGATTTCTTGACCCATATACGAGTCAGTTCTACATCTTAGCGCTGAACCTAATGAATAGAGATTGAGCTTCACTTCGCGAGTCGGGAATGGCATCATTTATGAAAAAGAAATACCCCTATATGAAAGTATTCATAAAATACCCCTATGTTAAATCATACTCTTCAGGAGATATATATATACACATATTTATATACTATTATAAAATATATATAACAAAATAACAAAATATAAAATGTTACTCTAAAGGATATGAAAAAAAATATAAAATATGTAAGTACACCATATAATTGATTAATAAATATTTTATAGCAAAATATAAAACAAAATAAGAGGAACTACTTCACAAAGTAACCCATAAGCCTGAACTCTCTCCAAGGACTACACAACTGTGACTAGTACTATGTGTTGAGAGGTGATATAAAAATTTATAAACTCTATCTACCATAGAGCATAAATCCATGTATACGGGGAAAGGCTGTTAAGTAGTTCTCTGCATAAACTGTAGTTATGTAAGGAAAAAGCTCTTAAATATTGTGGTATGTATAGAAGAGACTAAGTACCTATGTGCTATGTCTGACTAACTAGTGAAAACTGCTATATTATAGCTATAAGTTAGACACATACGCCATAACTCTAACTAGTTGCCATAGGAAAGAAGTAGTATACCATATCCCTCCCCCCCTTTCAAATATCAATATATAACCCCCAAATTAATTCATCTTCTCAACTTAGTAGGTTTGGTGACATACCTTTACAACAAATGTCACATTATTGCTTAGTAGTTTATTCTTCTCTGTGTTATTCTACTCCAGCTATCATCGTATTGCTTAGTTCCTTCAGTTCCATCATATTCTTATAATGCCTACAAGTTGTATTGTTCAGATTCTTCATCCTCTGCTGAATCTTCAGATTCTTCATCCTCTGACTCTGACGAAGTGTTTGATTTGAATCAATTTCATGAGAATTCTAAAGCTAAATCAGATGCTAAAGCTAAATCAGATGAGAAAATAGCTAAGGAAGAGAAGAAGGAAGAAGAGAAAATAGCTGATTCACCTGTTGGCTATTATTCAAAAGAGGTTTTCTATTACCATTTGAGTGTGTTAAGGAGTGTAATAGATCGGGAAAGTAGCAGTGAACCTTATGAGGGACTGATAATTGCTCAATATGACTTTAAAGAGCCTTATTTACAATGTTCAGACATTGACGTCATTGCCTTGGCTGTTATGTGTTTGTTACTTAAATATGCTTATTCTTGTCATTTTGATTATGCTAAATGCACTATTGGCTATAGAATGAAAATACCTACAGGTGATGTTTCCTATACGGTAGGTAGTGCATTCTCTTTACTTGACTCTCACGGGACTGCTGCACCTACCTTTGGTTTATATACTAATATTTTGAAGTTGATTATGAAAAAAGCCGAAGATTATGGAAAATCTCATCTATCAGGCCTCTTCATAAGAGTTTATCTGAGCGGTAAGCAGTCAAAAGCTAAAGACATCTCTTTGACTTCCGATCTAATTGATGATACAAAACTGTGGCAATTACTGAATGATGTCAAATCAAGTGGTAATCCCCCCCCAAAGCGAAACGCATGGTCCGTAAGGAAGGTTATCCTTCACATATCCCAGGATTGAAACCTAAGAGTAAGAAACGTCATGCTTTCATTGTCGCGGATACGGAAACTGTTATGATCGATAATGCGCATGTCCCTTATGCAGCCGGGTTTCTAGTTGTGCAGCCGGGTGAAGATGTTGGAGCCAAGCCTGCACATGCCTTTGAAACCTTTTATAGTGAGGACCATCTGCTTATTATGTCTGAATTTAAAGACCGCAGTCGTCAAATGCTGTTCAGCTTTCTTGGTCGCTTAGCCGTGGTTGCTAGAAGTAGAAAGATTCAAAGGGTATATTTTCATAATTTAGGATTCGATGGGATTCTCCTTATGCAGTATTACGTGTCTCTTGGGAATAAGTACACGATCGAGCCCCTTATGCGCAACTCGCGACTATATGAGCTAGCTGTATATCAGGAGGGTAAACTTCTCTTCCGGCTCAGAGATTCATACTTGCTTCTTCCAAGTAGTCTTGCTACATTAGCGGAGACTTTATGTCCACAATTAGGACCTAAAGGCTCAATCCCAATAGCCCCTGCAGACTTGCAAGTGTCTCATCTGCTTCCTATGGGCCCTCAATTGCTGAAGTATATGACGCAGGATATTCGACTATTAGGCGGTATAATGGCAAGTGCTCAAGAAATTTATTGGACTCAATATAAGGTTGATATATTGGGGTGCTTAACTTTATCAGCCCTAGCTATGAACATTTTTCGCATTTCATACTATGATCCGGAGAGCTGGCCTATACATATCCCAAGTCGGAACGAGGATGCTTTCATCAGACGCGGCTACTATGGTGGCCATGCTGATACATATATTCCCTATGGTGAGGACTTGTACTACTATGATGTCAATTCTTTATACCCTTTCATTATGAAAACCTATGATATGCCAGGTGGTAAGCCTGTCTGGCATGGTAATTTAGAAGGCCGTGAGTTGTCAACCTTGTACGGATTTATAGAAGCTTATGTAGTGTGCCCCCCTACCATTAAGCGCCCTTTCTTGCCATATCGCGATGAGAATGAGACTTTGCTCTTTCCAACAGGAAAATTCGTAGGTGTCTACTATAGCGAAGAGCTAATTTATGCACGTGAGTTGGGTTACACAATTGTACCACTGCGCGGCTATTTGTTTAATAAGAAGCCCAGTCCCTTTGAAGGCTTTGTCTCATCGATCTTCGGGAAACGCAAAGAAGCAAAGAAAAAGGGCGATGAAGCAATGTCTTTTGGCTACAAAATACTGATGAACTCACTATATGGCCGAGATTCGGCATAAATCCGAAGTGTACAACAACCGTGGTATGCAATCGTAACCAGTATGAGTATTGGATCAAGAAGGATAATTTCATCTTTGGGGATCGCCTGGGGGACCATTACTATATAGTCAATTATGTCAGCAATGCCGCCAACGCCCCTGACTCGGAGTGGATTCCACCCAAGATATCGGCGGTTCAATTGTCTGCTGCTATTAGTGCTTGCTCCCGTATCCACATGTACAAGTACATTTCGCGCGAGGACTGCTATTATACTGATACTGACTCAGCAATTTTAGGCAATCCTCTGCCCGACGAAGAAGTATCAAATCTTGAATTGGGCAAGCTGAAGATAGAGCACAAAGTAAAGAAAGGGCACTTCTTAGCGCCTAAGAGCTATTCCCTAGAAACGGAAGAGTCAGGCGACGTAATCAGGCACAAGGGTCCGGCTAAAAAAATGGTCAATCGCGGCTGGTTTGAGGGGCAATTCGCGGATCTGGCCCGAACGCAGAATATAACAGTCGAATCCCACTTCCGGGTAGATTGGCACACGCTTAATATCGCAATAAAGAAATACCAAGTCAGTCTAGGTAGCAAAATAGGCACCAAAAGGGAACCGGTATTTGATGAAAACGGTGCTTGGATTGACACAAAACCAAAACATGTAATAGATTTAGGTGGGCAAGAGAGCGAGGTGCTAAAACTCGAATTGAAGATGCTCAAATCTGAGTTTCAAAAGAAAGAGATCGAATATCAGCATCAGATTGCTAATCTTAGTGAGAATCTAAGTCAAGAAAAGGATCAGAATTCTAAGATTATTGCTAGTCTTGAGGAGGAACTTCAGCAACTAAGAGAAGAGATGAAAGCCAAGGCTCTTCTTACTGAAGAAAAAATGGGTAGCCCTAAATCCACAGAGCCGGTCGAGCCTCCTACTTTTTACGACCAACCGCATAAGAAAGCCAAGAAAGGCCAGGGTCAAACGCCTTTGGCTAAGAAACCGCCATGAAGAAGAAGGAACCTGCGTCCAGTCGCCTCTCTCGCCCTGTGTGGTCGAAGGGATCTGACTTTCTCAATTGCGCCTATGCCTTTTCTCTCTGTCATCCTAGTCTCCCTGAGGTGGCGATCATTTGCCACACGACTCTTTTGATGACCGTGTGCAGTAAAGTAATGTGGACATGGAAGTATCCCGAGCCTGTTTAGAATGCATATAAACAGCAATACACAAAGGATGTCAAATCTTCCATCATGCCACATTTTCAGTGGGAATAAACCCCAGAAATCCCAACAGCCGGAATCACTCTGCTCTGAGACTAATGACTTCATAGTTAATAGCTCAGCGCCTATAGAGTTAGGGATGAGTTTTCTCATCCTGGGTAAGGCAAGGGGTTCTATTTCAGGAGATCTCCTAATTCATCACTTATGCTTAGCTTAGCCCCAACAACCATATTCAACATATGGATTTGATGGTGGCAAGCTGTGATCCTTCCTACTCGCCGTGCCTTTTGAGTGTAATAACAAATATATTTGAAATGATGACCACCTTGTACATGCAACCGCCTTGCAGAGCGATAAATCTGCTAATGGATGCCAAACGTAAAAGACTTTTCTTCGTTATATTTGTGCGATATTATTCTTCGAATGGATATGTTTCAAGTGGTGATGATATTCATGGCATTGATGATGTTGGACAACCTGTTAATGTTGATTCTGCTGGAAATGATGAAAGAAAGGAAAAGACTCTTTCTTTGTTTTGGAAACGTTTTGACATGAAGCTTGAAGAAACTCTGGATAGTAATGCAACATATGAGAATTTTAAAAATAACAAAAATGTTGTTTTAAAATTGTTGAATTCGAATAAATTTGATTATAGAAACATAAGCCCACAGGAGTTATATGACCTACAAATGGAAATAGAGGATATGACACTTCATTTTAACGAACCTCAAATATTAAGTAGTTATCCACAATTGTTCAAACTGTTGATAGGAAAAGATCTTCTTCCTGCAAAGGATTATCTAAAGCAAGAAAAGTGTGGCCTGTCGGACTTGGATTTAGAGTTTCTTAATTTATTTGATCAATATACGCTGGAGGCAGTCCTTATTTTTTCTCTTGGGGTTTTTTTCCACCCGCTAAAAGAATTCTGCGCCGTGAAAGTCTCTTATATGATCGAGAAGCTTGATTACTTTGTACGCTTCGAAACAGTACAAAGGGCAAAGAAGAAAGGTAAGAATATGGATATGGTGCCGAACTATTATAAAAAGAAAATAGATCCAAAAGGGAAACTGAATCGCTCTCATTATGCTATAGGGGTCTCTTTGGTTGAGTTCTTGGTGGAAAGGAAAGTAATCAGTTTAAAAAAGGACCGAAAGCTCAAAAAAACTGTTCAATTCAGTGAGAAATCCCATATAGATTTTCCTTCATAAAGGGCATTGATTGCTGTGGAATGGAAGTGCCCAGCGTTGTCAAGCGAAGTGTGTGTGTGTGGACTCCCTCTTTTTGTGCTACTTCTCCCATCTACCTTAGCCAATCACACCGATTCAGTTGAAACGCTTACTGGTACCGATTCATCCACTTTGATGTCTGAAATCGCGATCGACTTCCTATATCAAAAGGTCTCATTTAAACATATTGGACAAAGCCCTCTTCACTCGCTGTCCCGCCACGCCGATGGGGAATGGAGAAACAGGCCTACCCTCCCACTGCCCGTATAAGTAGAAATCCGCTCGCTACTAGTTCTCGTGGAAGACAAGCTTGAAGAAGCGAAATACGGGGTCCCAGGCCCGATACGAGAGAAAGTATGACTGATAGACGAAAAACGACTCATAGCTATTCTGTCTGTCATGGCCAATGCTAGCAACACCGCCTATGACCAACCTGTATTTGAATGTAGAGGGCGAAGGCGGACGAATAATAGACACGACATGGGCAAAAGGGATCCAACATCCTTTGCTCCAGACTGTCCATGGAAGGAATTCCATTTACCCAGCTGCCTTAATATTAATAGTGGATCTACCGGATCTTGGAATTTTCCCGTTTTCAAGGTGAGCTGAGGAACTCAGTCACTCTTTAGCTCCGTCTTTCTTTATTTAGGCTTTCCGAGCCTACAGCTGATCTGGACATGCGGGCAACTACCAGACTGAGTCGCCCTTCATTCACGTAGGAAAGAAGAATGCGTGAGAGATAGGGGGTGTGAAAGACCGGAGGATACGTGCGTCTGCTCTTGTTTTTCGGATGCGGAAGTCTCGGTGTTAGTATCATACCTGCCCATGGAAGAGATTCTGGGAAAAGATCATAGTGGGCATCGCCCTCGAGCTAAGAGCTAAATAAGTGGTAGGTAATTCATAATCATGAAAGTCAATGGACCTGGTGAACCTAGATGAGACGGACACGCTACGCGCTACCTTCATGTCTCGCCCAAAAGCGTAGGGGTGAGAGCATCCGGGCGGGGTAGTGACTGAATGGAATGCGCCAATCCGCCTTTTGCAGAAAGTCGTTGGCTTGGCCGAACCCGATGAAATGAGACATCCAAGGAAGAGCCCCTACCTTAGGATCAGATAGAGCATCCTGAACTTCCTCTTCAATGGCACCCTGTGCCTTGCCAACTCTCAAACTCATAAGCTTGTAAATTCTTGGTGTAATACTCACTCGTAAATGATAGGTGTAATTCGGAATTCTCTCGTTGAATGGGCTAATTCGACAAAGAAAAAAACTGCTATAGTATCTTCAATCTTACCCCCCTCTCCGTCTTCTATTCATCCTGCCCCCTTAAAAACTGGTGCTATTGCGGCTACACCTCCCGATTTGTCAGGTATACTACGAAGGCTCATCAAACAGCGCTTGATAGCTTTTCTCAGGATTTGGCCCAACAAGAATTTTATTCATATACGGAGAGCCGGCCCCCCGTTTGATAAGATCCTCCCTAACGCTATCCAAAAATTGGAGTTCTATTCTGTCTCTTTCCGCCGCCGTGCTCCGCCCTTGTGGGTGGGTGTCCAGCTCCAGCTTGTCTAGCTCGCCCCGTTTCTCGTCAAAGAAGTCGATAAAGGCTTCTTTAGAATTGTAGGAGGCCTTTTCGGCCAAGGTAGGATGTTCCGAAAGAAGTCGTTGATAAAGGGAATAACACCCGTGTTTCAGCTCCCGGATCTGGAGATCTGTATTCTCGAAGTCAAGTAAGCGGTTATACTCACGCTGAGAGGGGACTTGACCCAAGGCTGTTTTCATTTCGCGCCAATATTCTCCTTTCTCTTTATCCAGGAGAAACGGGCTATGGTCCTTCTCGAGGGCACATATTCTATTTCTTATAGAAGATTCCAAGCTCGTATTAGTTTTTATGTAACTATTATATGGTTGGTGAGAAGGCCCCGCCTCTTCGCGCGCCACCCCCCCAGCCCCAGGGGCGGAATTCACCGACGTGCCCTCCATTTCTGTTTCGGAAAAGGGCTCCAATAAGACCTGCATATCAAAATCCGTCCACGAGGACGGGCTTGATGGGCCGGAATGGGCTGGAAGAGGAAGTGCTAGACCGCCACCTCCCCCCACACTCAAAATCAAAAAAGGATAAAAAAAATGAAGACCTAAGTGGGAAAGTAAGTAGGCGCGAAGAAAATAGCAAAAGAAAGAGACGAAAACTAGAATGGATATATAAATCATAAAGACAAGTCGAAATCCAAACTTTTTTTTCAAACTAAAACAATAAAGACGAAGCAGAAAGATCAAGCCTAAGATAAGTATAGAAAAAAACACGAGATTTTTCCCTGTGGTCATTATAGCGGTTCCTTCTGCTCCTAGAAAACGCCCGAAAAAACCCGCTACGGAACTACCGAGCAGGGGCAAAAATATGATAAGTAGATAGATAAGTTTTCCCAGGCTATCGACCGCTTTTAACCCCGTTTGCATAGGCTCGTGCACAGATTGACGTTCAATAATCCCAGGGGCTTTCACTTCGACACGTCTTCGCTCGTGATCGCCTAGAGCCCCTCTTCCATCAATAGGTACTCCCAACGCGTCGACCACACGCCCTAGCATTGTTTTTCCCGCAGGAACATCCACAATAGATCCAGTGCGCTTGACAAGATCTCCTTCTTTAATAGCAGTATCACTACCAAAGACAACAATCCCTACATTCTCATTTTCAAGATTGAAGGCTATTCCTTTCACACCGCTGGCAAATTCAACCATTTCCCCAGCTTGAATCTCGTTCAATCCATAAACACGTGCAATACCATCTCCAACTGAGACCACTCGACCGATCTCAGTCACTTGAAAATGCGTGTCAAAGTTGGTAATTCGACTTTCTAATAGAGTAGTGAGTTCGGCAGCTCTAGGAGAGAATTCCATGAAAGATTGTATTTGATAAAGATTTGATTTGCAAGGGGGAATACCGCTTTAAGAAAGAGAAAGAAAGTGAAGAAAGAAAAAGAAAGTTCGACTTGCATGTGTTAAGCATCTAGCTAGCGTTCCTTCTGAGCCAGGACCAAACTCACATTTCAAGTACCGATTGTAGAACTGTTGTGGTACAACCTGGTGAACCGGGAAAACACTTGAATCTATTAGGAGTGTACTGAAGGCAGCCAAACCATGTAAAATCAATTTCATTATGTAAGAGAATTTGACTCATTTGGCAGCTATAGCCGACAACACTTTTGCAATCGGACAAAGAGAAGGGTCCCTGATTGATTGAATCATCGGTCATAGTGACAGCGAACAGGAAATTCTCGTAGTATAGGTCAAAGATGGAATTCGGGATCATTGGACTATCAAACCAGCCAGAAGTCAATCAAATGTCTCCGTCTCTTTCTTTTTCAAGTCGCTCTATTCTGGAGACCTAGGAATCGGAGCTAAGTTTTGGACTTTCTTCCCTTAGCCTTCAAAAAAGAAGAGAGAAAATGAGTTTCAGATGGGGAAATGGCTCGAGGAATAGACTCACTACTTCCGAGAGGAGTTGACAAGAAACTAGCTCCACTAATTGTTGGTTTTACTTTGACCTGAGCGCTACCAGACCAGTCC